CTCCCCCAACCCAAGATTGACATCATCCGTTGCAAAGTAAGGAAGCAGCACTTTACTAGCCCTTTGGTGTAGATCAAAGGTCTTGCCAAAAGATGCCTGCCTGCTGGCACGGCAAAGAAGAAGCTCTTCCGCCTGGACAACTGTATCCTGAGCATTTCTGATCCTGAATTGTAACTTGTTAACTTTCCTCGGGATTTCTCTGGGACTACTGCGATGAATTCTCGTAGGGGAAAAAGCAACAAAGGTTGGAGGTCAACTCTAACCTCTGCCTTTTTGTAAATGACCTTGGGGGCCAGAGGAGATCAGTTGTGGCTTCCACACCATTTCCTCAAATTCTTAATTTCATTTGTTTAATGTCACAACTGCCACTCTTTCCCCGCTTCTTCCCCGAGGAGTCTGCCATGATCCCGATAGCCATTTATTAAACAATTCACTTTTTTGTCATTGATTTGAGGATGATACTCTTCTATGATAAATTTTAAAATGTTTCATCTGTGTCAAGCATTACATTTTGTTGCATTTGTCTATTCTTATACAAATAATGTACTTTTTTTAAAGTTCTACCCGATCAACCTTCAAAGACGTAAAGGGAAACACCTCATTCTTAATCTTTAATAAAAAAACACATAATAAATGCACACGAGTGTTGTTCTAGAGCATTTGTTGCTTCAAAAAGACTTTTGCCAAATTTTAAAAGGCCTTTTTGGTATTTTGTCTGATCTGATATTTATGTTCATGCCACCTGCAATTTTTATCATATTCACCCCTTCAATCCTGTAGCCTGCCTCTTGAAGTCTTTTATTCCTGTGACGCTCAGCTGTCCTCTAGCTTAGCTTAACTAGTCACAAAGCAAAGGTCTGCCTTGAGCATCACGATCTTCTCAGAATAAACTATCGGGGATCAAACTGGCAACGGCAGCTCAAAGGATTAGAGAGGAACCTTAGAGGGCAGCAAGTTCACGGCCATGGAAGAGAAACAACTCAGAACAAGCGGGTGAGGCTGTCTGCACAGCTTGAAGAAAGTCATCCACATCCCTGAGCTGCACACATGGAAGCTGTAGATGGGTGGATGTGGAGCCCTGGTGGCAGAGTGGGTTCTGCAGTGGGCTGCTAACTGCAGGGTTGGCAGTTCGAAACTACCAGCCACTCTGTGGGAGAATGATGAGGCTGTCCACTTCCTTAAGGAGTTACGGTCTCAGGAACCCACCGGGGCAGCTCTGCTCTGGCCTAGAGGTTTGTTCTGAGTGGGATTGGACTTGATGTCAGTGAGGTGGTTGTGCATATTCACAGTTACCCCATAGGACAGAGCACACCTGCCCATGGGACGTCCAAAGCTGACCACGCCTTCTTCCCTGCTGGTGGCTGGTGGTTTGAATGGTATATCTTTCAGTTCGCAGGCAAGCACTTAATGACCGCACCTAATAGGCCTCCTATTCTCAACACCCACCACAAAGACATAAAGATTTAGAAATTCACTCATGTTCTCTCTGTAGGCTATTCACATTTATTTTCTATTTCTTGCTGGGTTTTTTCTTTTTTTCACAAGTTAAGAGTATGTGGCAAAGCTATCTTGGCTAGAGTGCTTCAGGACATTCTCGTGGTCTGGATAGGTAAGCAATTGTTGGACCGGTAAATATTTTTAAAATGTATCTTATCTGTAAGAGAAAATATTCTTTACTGTTGTTGTTTGTTTTTCTTCTTCTTTTAGCACAGGCAAAATATCTTATTAAAAATACTAATCCCCCCCACCTAATCGACTTGACAATGCCCTCTGTCTGACAGCAAGGCTATTCACGTCCAGAGGGGAGTCGCCAGAAGTTTGATCCATGTGTGGCGCCTGCAAATAGATTTTGGGCTCCCACTATCATCCATAGCGTTTTGCAAACCAGGTGTTCACAATTTAAGCTCGGCTACCATTTCTGCCTTTCGATTTGGATTTTACTATCTACAATCCTTAGGTTTCAGAGGCTGCTGCATTTCTTCAGGTTGATGCTTCCCCTAGACGGCTGCTCATTTGAAGACAAGCCTTTAAGACCCCCGACACGATGCTTTTTAAGAGCCGGCACCATCAGCTTCTTCACCGCACTTGGCCATAGCACCCTTCCCTTCAGTGATCTCTCCATGAGGGGGAGCATCGAGCAGGACCTCAGATTATTATCTGATTTCCCTTTAAAGTTGTTATAGTTTAAAAAAAAAGCAAACAGAAATTACATTTGGATTAAGGCTCCAGTGAATCCCCTTTGTCCGTAGACCAGAGCTGTGAATAGTCTTGCCTATGATGCAGAATACATTGGAAAGTGGATAATTACCGGTGCAGGTAGGCTAAAAGTTAACACTTACCATTTCATCTCCCCTTGGACCCATTAGCTCTCCTTTTTAATATTTTATGCATTCTGTTTGACTGAGGTTCTTCTGTTGTTGTTGCCTTTGTGCGTGTGTCTGTTTCTGCATATGAGATCCGGGCTAGGGAGAGCTATAGTCACTGGATTAGTGGTTTCTTGGGGGTGTGGCAGGGGAGGTTGGGGTGAAGTGAGGAGCTAATAATGATGAGTACAAGAAAGAAGAAAATGTTCTAAAATCGAGCGTGGTGATGATCATGCAACTCTTTCTAAGATTAAGATACTTGAACTATTGAATTGCATGTGTGAATTATATGACAATAAAACTGTTACACATACCATTTTGCTCATAAAAAGATTATTAATATTAATGCAAATATCTCCAGTATTTAACCTTGGCTTATTATTATATGACAGGTACTCCCAGATCTTAATAAACCAGAAGGACACAAGAAATCTAAACCCATGGCTGTCAAGCCAATTCCACCTCACAGTGACCCTTCAGGACAGGATAGAACTGCCCCTGCGGGTCTCTAGGCTGTGAATCCTTACAGAAGCACATAGACACGTCTTTCTCTCTTGGAGCGGCCGGTAGGCTTGAGATGCCGGTTAGCGTCTCAAGCTGCGTTGACTGCTGGACCACCATGGTTCGTTCCATAGAGTAAGAGTGTCCACAGATTAGAAGAGTTCTGAGGAGGAGCCCCGGTGGCACAGTGATTACACGCTGGACTGCTAACTGCAAGGTCAGCAGTTCAAAACCATCTTTCTCTGCAGGAGAAAGATGAGGCTTTCCACTCCTGGAAAGAGTCACAGTCCTGGAAACCCACGGGGCAGTTCTACCCTGTGCTATACGGTCACAATGAGTCAGAATCCACTCGGTGGCCATCTAAGTCCACATGGAGTTTGGTTTGGTTTTTGAGAGGAGTTTCGAATATCAAGAATGTGTGTTGAATCTGACAGAGTGTCTTCAAAGCATGTATTGACATGTTTATAGGATTATATTTCTTGGAGCTATTAATATGGTGAATTATATTAATATATTTTCTAATCCTGGGTGGCCTTTCGGTAAACCCTACTCGATCATGTTTTCTCATACTCTATAACATTTTCTTAGATCTCATGCTCATGTCTGCAATAGCACCTGCAATTTCTCAGGAACCTCCTCTTCAGACCCTGCCTGTGAGAACCCAGAAACACCCAACATGGTCCACACTTCTGGCAGCCACTGACCTTGCCATGCCTAGCCTAGCCACCAGCCCCAGCCAGAGCTGAGTCTACCCAGGGCAAAGAGCGCAAGCAAAGGACTCTTGTCCATATTTGTGGGCCTTCTCTGTCCGACCTGGGAAGTTTCTCAGAGATGTCTTGACTAGCTGGAATGGAGGCAGAGTCAAGTGGTGGGGTCTCCTGGTCCTGAACCTCTGACTCCAGGTTCCTCTGAGAATTCAACCTTGGCTTGCCCTCATGAAGAGGTGTTACAGCACAGTGTAGTGAAGAAAGCAGATGGTGCCCCGCTATCAAAAGGGATACCATCTGAGGTCTTAAAGGCTTGTCTTCAAACAAGCAGCCATCTAAGTCCTCATGGAAGAAGTACACCAGCCTTTGTGACTCAAAGATGGTCAGCAATAAAATCCAGAGCCAAAGGAGGGAATGAGATCAGGGCTTAAATCGTGAACATCCAGTTTGCCAAAGGCCGCGGATGACAGGGCAAGTCCAAAACCCATTTATAGGGTCCACTCGTGGATTCAAGCTCTGGTGAATCCCCTGTGACCACGGTTGCAGGAGGTGAACAGCCTTGTTATCACACAGAAAATACTGCAGAATCTATTATGGCAGACATCGTTAGGTGAAAATGTAACATCTTATCATTTGATCTCCTTTTGACCCATTTTAAAGTTGTTTCAGTTAAAAAAACAAAGGTGATGGGGAAGTACTTGTGGATTAAATCTCTGGTGAATCCCCTCTGACCATGGATCAGGGATGTGAGCAGCCTTGCTATCGTGCAGAATGCATCGGGAAGTGAATTACTGCAGATGCAGTTAGGTTACAACTATCATTTGATCACCCTTAGGATCCATTTTAATTTTGCTCCAGTTTTTAAATATTTTCTACTTTCTCTCCGATAGCGGTTTCCATCTGTTTTTACTTTGTTATTGCTATTAGCTGAGTTCTGTGTTGAATGTGTTCCATATGTGAAATCCAGGATAGGTAAATCTATGGATTATTGGGGTGACGGCAGGGGAGGTTGGGAGGAAAGGGGGATCTCATAACGAGGAGTCCAGGAATGAAGAACACAAAATGTTCCTAGAGTGGTTGTGGTGATGACTGTACAGCTCTTCCTGACGGGACTGAACGATTGAATTGTAGGACATGCGATATGTATGATATGTGATATATGATATGTGAACGATAGGCCCATAAAGCCGTGAGAAAACAACAACGAAATTCCATCCTGAGTTCCCTTCCACATTTACTGCTTTCAGCCTGTGCGTATTCAGCCACCTCCCCTCACGTGCACCGTGAAGAGAAGACGCTGTGGCTTCGTCCCGGCGCAGGCGCAGCAACGAGCAAGAGGAGGAGGGTCACAGTCAAAGAAACCCGGGAGCAAAGCTGGAAACATCCTGACCAAGCACCTGGGCCCGTGTGCCGCCACCTCCGCACGCACCTGGGGCCTTGAGTTCAGCATCGATGAAGGTGAGAAGTTCCTGGCAGATGCTGCAGTAAGGAATGGGCCAGGTCAGGAACCGGTGGTAGGTTCTGGCTGCCTTCAGAAGGAGATCCGAGTTGGGCGGGACATGCGGCGTCTGGGATGGGCAGAGAGTGGCAACCAGAGGTCTGGATGAGAGAAAGCTCACTGATAAGCTAGGGCAGGCCCTGCTCCTCTTCTGGGATGTCCCACATGTCCTAGCAGTGGATTGTTCCAAGACTAGGCCAGGAAAAACTGGAAGCCACTCACAGAGACTGGGTTACAAAAGGCAAGATGGTGCCGGGGGGTGTCTCTACTATAAGAACTTTGTCCTGACCGAACCAAACTGCTACTTACTTGGGGCAATGACCTTCAAAACCTAAGCCACCTTTATCAATATATCCTCCGCCAAATCCAAGGCTTATTCGTTGAGGGTGGATTGATTTTACATAAATGGAGTCATTTAGAACCACCAGTCTGGTGAATTAGGGGGTGACCACGTTGGGGGAAACCATGGAAGCACAAAATGAAGTGGGCTATACATCTGTCCACAGAATCTCTCCTGTGGCTTCCGACCAGGATGTGATAGCCGTTTCGGTGTGGGAGACCAGGGACACCAGGCACAGTGGTGTCTCTATGGAGCCACGGGAGGCCCTTCAGGATGGCTGTTCGGAAGGGAAAGCTGTCACTTTGTGGGTTGACACCCTTCTCAAGTCTCACCACTTGCCAGTTACTCTCTGGGTTTATTCCCCAAGGGGTGCGGGCCTTGTGTGACAATTCCCCGGCTCCCCTCTCCCCTGCCTCCCCCAGCCCGGCCCCCTCTGGGACTTACACAGAGGACAGTGGAGTAGAAAAGCAGGGCCAGAGGGGAGAGGAGATCGTAGGTGCCTTTCTCTTGGACCTGTGGGGAGGACAGGGGAGGGAAGGGGTGAGGTGCATGCACAGGGTGGCACTATCTTATCCCACTCCTTCTTCAGTTTTGTTGGTTGGCTTTTATTTTTAAAGTAATGCCACTACAGGACATATCATTTGAAAAGCAGAAGTGAAAAAAAATCACAATGCTGTCCCTCCACCCTTGTACTTTTCCTTATCCCATTTTTCCTTATGCATTTTCTTCTGTAAAATCATAATAACAGGCGAGCAGTTTACTCTTGATGCCTTTTACTTATAATACTTTAAATTGAACATCTATTTTGCTACATGGTGTCTAAGATCACTTCCCTACCCCTACCCCGACACACACACACACACACACACACACACACACACACACACACACACTTTTTTTAAACTTGTTATATTCTTTAATTTTGTGGAGTTTTTTGATGTGCAGAAAGCATACATGTTAGTTTTTTCCTTTATGGGTTTTGCTTGGCACGGAAGGGTCATATGCATGTTCAGATAGTTTCCTTCTCTTTGTTGAAGCTTAATGTTCTTACATTTAAATCTGTAATCCAACTACAATTTCATCTCCCTTGTGAGATAAGCTGGACCCTTCCCTTTGTATTTTATCCAATGTTTAGTTGGTTTCCTCTCATTATCTTAGGAACTTTTCACTGATGGCATTGTATTATAGGTTGTAGTTTGTTGAAGCCCTTGAGACACCCATCATATTCCTTTTTGCTGTACTTTGGATTATTATTCTTCGATAAGTAAAATCAATGGCTGAAAGATTAAAAGCACACACATGACCTTTGAAGCACATTAGCAAGTGCTTTCCAAAAGCATTCTCCCACGTCTAATATTGTGCATGCAGGGAAGGACCAGTTTCACCACTCCCTTCGCTAGATTGGTTATTATAATTTTTGCAAATTTGCTAGGCAAATGCTATACCTTTATGGTCTTCATTTGAATGCATTTTATTATAATTGAGGTGAGAATTTTTTTTAAAGTTCTATGTCTTCTTTTGTGAATTATTTCTTCCTTTGGAAAGCATTTAGCTAGAACCTACCGTACCGCAGACACACCTTGGACCGAGTTAGAGACTCTTTGGTTCAAATGCTTGGTTCATTGTGGCACCTGTAGCAGTGGAGAATGCCCCACCTTCTTTGCTGCACCTGGTAACCTCAACACATGCAAATTTTGGATCCTCCTTCTTTGTAACCTGAATAGAAGACATGTCCTCCACACCTGCTGCTGAGTCCATTCGACCAAACCTTACCCTCTAAGACACAATGATTGGCCTCTTCCTGACCAGACTCCACTAACCTGAGACCAGAAGAACTAGATGGTGCCCAGCCACGGCTACTGACCACTCCGATTGGAAACCCTCTAGCAGGGACTGGGCATAGTGGAAGAAATATATAGGCCATTTTAAATCGTAAAAAAGGCCAGACTTACAGGCCTGATTGAGACAGGAGGAAGCCTCAAGACTTGGCCCTTCGAACCTGGAACTGAACTCACTCCCCGACGTCACACTTTAGCCAAACAATAGACAAGCCTAGAACATCCTGTGAGGAATGTGCTCCTTAGAACAAGCAACCGCTCTAGACCCAAGGGGAAACATCTGCCCCCAAACAAAGTTTAGAAGGCAGGAAGGGGCAGGAAACAAGGCTGACAGGAGGTGAGGGACCCAGGGAGAGAGTGGGAAGAGCGGTGGACACTGAAGGGCTCAACGCAACTGTTACTACATGTCATGAGCCCAGACGGCTGCGTGGGCAACAAATGTCCTCTGTAAAGGTTCACCCAAACCACAAGGAAACGTTCAACACACGCACCAACATATGAGCCAATAAACCACCCTCCCTTGTTGCTACATGGCTCTTGATTTGGGTTTAGAAGTTAACACTTCTGAGGTTGTTTCCCTCCTCTGTGTCAGTCTGCTGTGATCAGGGGCTGCGAAACCCAAACCTGAGGGACCCGCTGCCTCCAAGTGCATTCCATGTGTCACTGAGTCCAGCAGCACCACAGGGATCTGGACAGCAGCAGACCGCCTGGCCTTCCAAGGCCCTGCGGGCTGACTCTGAATCGCCAGCTTGTAGGCTCCGAGTCAGGAGCAAACCATTTGTACCACCCCGCTACTGTCCAGGGTATAATTAACGCCCCTGCCCCAAACTCACTTCTATCAACTCTCTTACCATGATAAATCTCTACGAGGACAGCCTCATTTTATTCCAGAGAGGCGGCTGGTGGGTTTGATGCGATGGCCTAGCAGTTGGAAGCCCAATGCCTAGCTCACAAAGCCACCAGGGCTCCTTCCTTCAGGGTGTCTAACATCCAAACTCACTGCCCACAAGTTGATTCTTAGTGACCCTCCAGGATGGGGGAGAACTGCTCCTGTGGATTTCTGTGGTTGTAACTCTTTACAGGAATAAAGAGCCTTGTCTTGCTCCCCCTTTCGGATATGCTGTTGTTACTATTGTTGTTAGGTGCCAGCGGGTCAGCACTGGCCCACAGCAACACTATGCACAACAGTGCCTGACCCTGCACCAGCCTCACAATGGGTCCTCTGCCTCAGCCCCTTGATGCAGCCACTGGGTCAATGCATCTCACCAAGGCCCTTCCTCTCTTGCACCGACTCTCCACTTTACCAAACGTGACCATGCGTCCAAAGTCTGTAAGACGAAGTTTTGCCCTCATTGCCTCTAAGGAGCACTCTGGCCTTATTTCTTCCAAGACAGACCGGCTTGTCCTTCTAGCAGTCCCTGGTACTTTCGATACTCTTCTCCGGCCCCACAATTCCAAGGCAGCCATTCTTCAGTCTTCTTGACTCAGCGTTCACCTTTCACATGCACGTGAGGCACTGGACAGGACCAGGGCTTGGGTCCGGTGCACCTTAGTCTTCAAAGTAACATCCTTGCTTTTCAATAGTCTAAAGAGGGCTTGTGCAGCCGATTCACCTAATGCAATGCATCTTTTGATCTCTTGAGACTGCTACTTCTGTGAGCATTGATTGTGGATCCAAGTAATACAAAATCCTTGACAACTTCCACCTCGTCTCCATGGATCCTCATGTTATCTATTGGTCCAGTTGTGAGGATGAGGATTTGGGCTTCCTAACATTGAGTTGCAATCCACTCTGAAGGCTACAATCCATGATCTTCATCAGCAAGTGCTTCAAGTCCTTCTCGATTTCAGCAAGCATGGTTGTGTCATCAGCATACCGCAGGTTGTTAATAAGCCTGACACCACACTCTTCTTCATACAATCCATCTTCTCTGATGATTTCCTCAGCACACAGATTGAGCAAGCATGGTGAAAGGATTCAACCCTGGCGCACACCTTTCCTGATTTTACACCGTGTGCTTGTCCCTTGTTCTGTTTGTACAACTGCCTCTTGATCCATGTACAAGTTCGGAATGAGCATGATGCAATGCCCCAGAATTCCCATGCTCCTCAAAGTTATCCACCGTTTAGCATCCGCCACAGTCGCCTTTGCAGAGGCAATGGAACACAAGTCAACATCTTTCTGGCATCCTCTGCTTCGAGCCAAGACCCATCTGACTCAACCGTGATCTTCAGGATGTAGCACCAGTTCAACGGTGGTGCCCAAATCATCAAAGACTTTCTTCTCATTGGGAGAGCTAGCTCCCTGAGAGACTCTCGTCTTTCCTTTGGGGATTCATAGCTATTCTGGATTCCCAGCCCCGCTTCCTGTTATATGCACCCCTCTTTTTAGCGTGGGTTATAAGCTGGGCTGCTAACCACCAGGTCAGCAGTTCGAACCCCCCAGTCCTTCTACAGCACAAGGAGGTATTCTGCTCGCATGAATATTTTCAGCCTCAGGAACCCCGAGGGGCAGTTCTGCCCTGTCCTAGCTGGTCAAGATGAGTCGGAATCCACTTGATGGCAGTGAATTTGGGTTTGGGGTCACAAAAGGCCCAAGATGGGCTGTTCAAGAAGGCGTGGGCTTACGTTTCTGTCCTTTCCCAGAGGTTGTCTCCTGCACTTCTTTTTCCCTTCAGAGGAAAGGAATTCCATCAGGCTTCCTCTGTCCTGTCAATCAACACCTTGATTGACAAGCCATCCTTGCCCGAAGCAGCAGCAGCTTCATCGCAGGCCCCTCCCTCCTGTACGCCTTGTTCTTGTCTGAAGGATCGCACTTTCTCCCCCAGTTACCACTTGCCATGGAGTGGACCCTGCCTTGTGGGGTTACAGGAGATGAGCTGTGTGCCCCCCGCCTTTTCAATTGTTTGGAAGTAGGTTGTCGGATCTTTTTTCCAAGGCCCCCCTGGGTTGACCCGAACTGCCAACCTTCTGGTTAATTGCCAAGCTCACTCACCACTTGCACCCCTCAGGGAGACACCCCTTCTGAGAAACCCTGTTGTGCTTCCATCAGCACCAAACGCACGGCTTCCCTGGACCCTTGTTAAAACTTCCTGGTGGTCTGGGCACCCCAGACCTGTTGTTCCTGGAGACCTCTTGCTCCATTCTGGGAGGTGCCTTCTGCTTTGCTCATCCATCCCTGCCCCGCCCTCACCTCTCGGGTTTTCTTCAGGATCAGTTCAAGGAGGATGAGGAAGTGGGCCGGGTCCCTGCTGACCAGCTCCTGGAGGCTCCAGCAGTTCAGACACAGCCCAGCTGGAAGGAAGAAAGAAATAATAAGCAAGGGGTCAGTTGGGGGTTCTCTTTCAGCAGCCTTTAGGAGGTGAGATAGTTAAGGTTTATTGTGCCAACCTGGCCGATAAACACGTGGGAAGAATTGAAAGGCGGAGAGAGGTAAATGGCTCGGTGAGCCTCGCCTTTCTAGTTCTCTGGTCTCTAGCTCTCGGATGGCCAGACTAGGGTGCAGCTGCCTTAGCTACTTCTCTGCCTCAGCTGGCAAGGCTCACTTCCTGTGAGACATCCCTGAGGAGAAGCCACATGGACCTACCCTGATGCCGCCCTGGGTGCTGGAGAAGCCGCATGGAGACCCCTGCCAGCGCTGAGATGCTTACACTGCCACTGGATTCAAAGTGGATCATTACCCACTGGCCTGTGATCCTCCTGCATTTGACGTCATTGTGTGTGTGTGTTGTGAGTTTGAGGAGGACTTTGTAGATCGGTGTCTGACATAGGGGCTAAGTCAGACTTATGGGCTTGGACTGGACGTGGTTGGGATGCTTTCTAAATGTACACTTACCCTTTATATATAAATCTCTCTTATACATATATGAGTGTCTGTGGATTGGTTTCCTTTGTTTACCCAGACTTACATAGGAGGGGAGGGTAGAAATGGAGGGCACCCTTGGGGCTGCCCGAGAGCACTCCTTTCTAAAGCAAGAGAGTCTTGGAGAACAGCATAGGCCAGTCGGCAACCCTACCCATGCCATCAAGACACAGCAGTAAGCTTCTTACATATATGAGGGGCTTAAGAGACAGAAGCTGGGCATTCCAGTAGAGGTCCCCTTCGAGGCCAGTGAGGCAGGTTTGATTGTTCCCTGGACCTCTGGAGAGCACCTGTTCATCCCTCACCTCACCTGCCCTGGCTCCTTCTGGTGGGGGTCAGGAACTCTAGATTCAGGGAAGGAGGCTAGAGGTAGTGCACACTAGAGGAATAAGCAGAGGAACCATCTGAGTTCTGGCCCGAGACACAGTCTGGGACAGCCCTGGGACTTTCCACAAGGGCTAGGCAGTGAGGTTCAGGAAGAACACACTGCATTCATCTCTATTTTAAAAGCTAGACGATCACTTCGTCACTCTGACACTTCCCCAGGTTTTCTTATTCGGGACATCTCTGTTTCCCTGTCGTCAGCGAGGGTGAACCCCTAAACACTAGATGGATCTCTCTCTCTCTCTCTCTCTCTGTGTGTCTCTGTGTGAGACAGGAAGCACAGCAGTAGGGGTGGAAGTTAATGCCCTGAAGCCCCAGCCCCTCGCATGCAAAGGCTCCTTCCCAAATCTTGGAGGTCTCTCAGAATGGGTCTAAGCAGTGATAGGCTTTGCAAACATTTGCAAAAGTCAGACACCCCCTATGCCCTGCATAATGAGAAGCTTCAAAACCACTTGCGCTGGCTTGAGTGAGTGTCCACTCGTGGTAGTGTCATGCGTGTCCAGAGCAGAACAGTGCTCACTAGGGTTTTCTGTGGCTGGGTTTTGGAAGCAGACCAATCACCAGGCCTTTCTCCCTCGTCCATCTGCAACTGGAAGCTTCACCGAAGCCTGGCCAGCTTCACACCAAGACAAAAGCCTCCACCGAGAGATGGGTGGTGATGGCTGTATTTGAAGCACATCAGCAAGGAATCGAATCTGGGTCTCCTGCTGGAAGGCAAGACTTCTATCACTGAACCACACCGCCCCCTTCTATAGACCTCCCCAAACAAACAATTCACTGCCACCAAGTCAATTCTGATTTGCTGCGACCCTGTAGGACAGAGTAGAACTACCCCCGTGGGTTTCTGAAACTGTCACTCTTTAAAGGAGTAGGAAGCCTCATCTTTCTTCCTTGGGATGGCTGGTGGCTTTGAACCGCTGACCTGGTGGTCTAGTGTGTAACCACGATGCCACCAGGGCTCCTCAAAACCTGGGTACAACATAGGGCAGAAGAAAACGACCATGGATTGAGTGCCTCCCTTGCCCCAAGGGCGTCCGAGGCTTCGGTCTATAGAAGCGGATCTCGAGCCGAGTCAGAACCACCCACTTTCCAGTTTGAAGCTGAGCACTTAACCATGGCACCACCAGGGCTTTGGTGATCTCCATCGAGTCCCCCTAATGGCCCCTGTTGCTGTCCTTGCCACTATTCCCATTGCACAGACTGTACTAGTGGGCGCTGGAGGGACAAGGCTGCGCACCTTGTGGGAGCGGTGTGAATGCGAACCCCACGCCAAGGACCAAGGCAAGTCCTGACCTGGATGAGGAGGAACCAGCTGTGGCTTGTGCTGAGGGAGGAGCTCCAGGCAGGAGAAAGGTCCTGGGGCAGAAAGGACCCCGAGATGTCTAACCAGGAAGTCCATCCTGCCCACCTTGCCCTCTCATGGAATTGTTGGTGAAGCAAAGGAGAGAGAGAAGGTAGGGTGGGGGGAGGCGGGGCGGGGGTGGGGGGCGCTGTTTACAAGCAGAAGGAAGCAATGATCACAAGGACCCCAGCCTGCAGACACATCTGGTTCTCAGGCCTGGGGGGACAAGGAAATCGACTCGCTGGCAAGCGCTGAGATGCCCCCTTCCACAGGGGAAGCTGGGGCCGGGGAAGGAATTAGACTCTAAAACAACAGGAGCGCTCTGGAGCAAGCTGCCTGGGAATTCCCAGGTGAGATGTCACTCCAGGGAGCCATGGCAGCTGCCAGCATGGAGCCACGAGGACAAAGTCATGGGCCCCCCTACCCAAGGCCTCCTCCACATCAGTTGTGGTGCCAAGGCACGTGGGATCCAGCGCCTGGCAGAGTGCTCACCAGGTCCACAGGCGCCCTAAGATCTGGACCTAAGGTCGCCTCCCCGGCTCCCCTGCACCTACCTGACCAGGAAGTGGAATTGCGGCTGAGGCTGAGCCCGTGCAAACAGCGCTCCAGCGCGTGCTGGATGCGGTCCTCCGTGCAGGTCGTGGCCCCTGGCTGCATCCTGAGTCATCGCCTGCATAGGGGGCAGACACCGGTCATTGGCTACAGCACTACACGGGGTGCACATGGTCCTGTCAACACAGACTGAGCGGTCCCTCAGCCCAAGGCCATCTATTTGACTCCTGTACCGGTACTGAGGGTGGGGACAGGGGTAGGGACTGGGGGGAAACCATAGGGGTCTTCCGGGTGCCTGCCGGAAGCACCACATCTAAGCTGGAGAGAGTGCAGCATTCTAGGCAGTGAGGGATCCCGGATCAAGTGGACAGCTAGACTGGGGATTGGCTGACACACACACACCCCTCCAGGGAACTGCTGAGTGTCACCAGGTGACTGGGATATGCCAGAGAGTCACCAGACCCCAATGGGCTGGGCCGAAGGACCCCCGGGGAAAATCAGAATCGTGTGGGGACTTTGTTTTAATCCCCTCTGCATCTCTTGAGCCCCCCAAAATGGACCTGGAATCTCTGCTCCTGAGGACAAGCCCCCAGGGATCTCCTCAAGGAGTGGGCAGTTCAAGGCTGGGACACTAGCACAGGCTGTCCTCAGGTGTCCTGCCCCCATCCCCAACCACCACATCCTGTGGGTGGGGCACCCAGGCCACAGGCACCTGCTTCTGTTCTGCCCCAACCTCCCCACTTGTCATTCTTTTCCCAGACCCACGCCTGAACCCAAAGACTGCCTGGCACCTGTTCCACCCCCGATCAAGGCAGGGCCAGTTAGGTGTGAAGGCCCTGCGGTCCTTCCCAAAGTCCTAGTAGGCCGTGCACCCAATGGTGACGCCTGATGCCTCTCTGCCCAAGAAGCTCCCACTCAAACCCCAACTGTCATAGCCGTTTGGCCCAGGTGATGCTGGGCCAATTCTTGAGCTTTCGCAAACCTCCATGGACACATCTGTAAAATGGGCTGACGATGGCACCGACCTCTGAGAGCACTGGGAAGAGGAAGTGACACAGCGGGTGTCCTGAGTCAGCTCTCCCAATACATGTTGGCACCCCCACTCCAGCCTTTGCCATACACACTGCCTACACCCGCTTCTAGACGAACCTCCATCTCTAGCCAGTCAGGCCAGCCCATGGGCAGAAGCCCAGGGAGGAGTGGTCCCAATCTGTGGAGCCGGGGACGAACTGGGATGCAAGAAGCCGCAGCAGAGAGCTGAGCCATGCAAATGAAATGCAACAGGAGATAAAATCCGCAGCCGAACCAGCCGCCTGGCGCCGACACCGGGAGGCCCCTCTGTAGGCAAATCTTCCCACTTCCCTAGTCTGGGAGGAAGTGTGGAAAAAGCAAGAACCAGCCCTTTGTGATGAGCTGTCCAGCATCCTCTGACTGCCCTCTCCAGTGGTCCATGCCCTCTAAGGCAGGGAGGGTGGATGCATTCGTTCATTCTCCACAGCATTTACCAGCCACCTATTTACTGAGTGCCAGCCACGTCCACTGCCACCCAGTTCATCCCGACCAGAAAGAGGCTCGGTGAGCCCTCCCACGATTTCGCTCGAAGAGGATCTAGCTTCCAAGTTAGGAGTGAGTCAGCGTGCTCAGCCGCTAACTGAAGTGTTAGAGCAGGGGGCGCAATACGTTGATCGCCATCTACCAGTCGATCGCAAATGTAGTGTGGGTAGATCGCATGGCATTTAAAAAATACATGTAAGCCTATCATCAATCCTGTCACTTAGTTGATACACAGCGCAGCCAATGAGATGCAATCTTAGGTGTCGAACGCATGCGCAAACAACTGCACTAAATGCCCCCAAACTGACAAGCTAAGTGATCGCCAATTTTTAGACCTTGGTTTCTCTTCTCTTGAACGTAAGAAAGGGTATTAAAATGAGTGGGGGAGCTGGACCAAGTAAGAAGATAAAAACGTACCACTTTCCTGCGGCATGGGGGATTTTGACACTACAAGCCGACATTCAGTTGAAGTCCAGAACGCAGGAACAGTTCTGGAACTTACTCGCAGAGGGAAAGTACCCAAACATGAGAACATGTGCTACCTCCTTGACTGTATAATTCGGCGCTACTTAATTATGTGAGTCAGCCTTTTCCCACATAAAGATCATTAGGTCCAAGTGCCGTTCCACCAGGACTGATGATCATTTGGAAGTGTGCTTGAGGCTGGCTGTCAGCAGCTACTGTCCCGGCTATGCGTCCCTGGCTCATTCCATTCCGTGCAAGTCATCAGAGTAAATCCAGGTAATTATAGAAAAATGGACACACTTAATTGTGTTGTGTTGTGTAATATGGACTCATGCGGTTATGCAAGGTACACAAACGTACATTGTACATATAAAGAATTCTCAATGCGTTTATGAATAAGTGTAATAAATAAATAAAAATAAATATGTGTTTTGCATGTTTGTCATTGGGAGATCATTTTGACTTGATCATTTTATAAGTAGCTCGCATGCTGAAAAAATGTGAGCACCCCTGTGTTCGAAGTTTGAGGTGCTTCCAAAGAAAGGCCTGGCGATCTACTTCCAAAGGATCCACCACTGAAAACCCACTGTGACACATATGGAGTTGCCAAGAGTCCACTGAAAGGCAACCGGCTGGGGATTTGGAACTCACCATGTCTGGCTACACCAGCTGCCCACCCACCACTGCCCCTCCTCCTAAGAGACCAGAGCTCCCAGAAGTCATCCTCTCTCTGGACCACGGTAGCTGGCATGGTCTGGGCATCTCTCCATCTAGAGCAAGGTCTCTCCTAGGCAAACTGGGTTTTAACACGGCCTCCACCCAGCCCTGCAGCGGACCAGTCATCCTGCTGACAATGTCCCGCATTGTAACACATGCAAACACAAGATGCAAATGGACACCCGGGGCCAGCAGCCCTTTGGCTTGCTCCTGTCAGTCAACCCCCCC